TCAACTGATCCTGGTCCTGTGCCCTCTGCAGGGAGCGTGTCCGGTCGGTCACCGCGGGCAGCGGGGAGGTTGGCGCAGGGCCTCTCCGTCCTCCCCCTCGGTTCTTTCTCTCGTTAGCTCAGTGCCCGGAGTGTTTCAGTGTTGGGCGCCTACAGTTACCTGATGGAAGATCGCTGGTGGTCTCAGTAAGCGTTAGTCATAACCTGTATCAGAAAAGCTGTTAAATAACGATCTGAACGTGCGCTCCCAGCCAGATGTCACGGTCAAAAGAGTTAATGTAACTTTGGGGATGTATTCCCTGGAAAATTTTGAATGCAGAACATGTTTGTAGCTCTTAACAATGATACAAGTTATGAAGTTTTGTGACTTGATACAAGTTATGATATTTTGAAATACTATGCAGGAAACTGCACTTTACAGGCATATAGCCATATTTTAGTTTCTGCTTGATATTTCAAAATACCACCAATTTCTCAACTTTCTTCCTGAAGTGTGAATAGCAGACCCAGTCGTTGTATCATTGCTAAGAGCTACAAACACATTCGCCCATTAAAAATTTTCCAGGGAATACATCCCCAAAGTCACATTAACTCTTTTGACCATTATGTCAGGCTGGGAACGCATGTTCAGATGATTATTTAACAATAACATTCTCTGCTCTCATCCCTAAACCGTTCTCACAGTAGAGTAATTCAGTTTCTTATGTTCTTTATGTAAGAATGATGCGTATTCTTGGTTCTCGGAGAACAGGAACTCTATACTTAAAACCATTTACCTGAATTCAGCAAAATAATCCTGATCATCGCTTAACTTCTTCCATTCTCAGTTACCCATAAGCACTAACTGGTGGTGGTTGTGTTTCTCTAGTTACAAACTAACTCTTTCAGTCTAACTGTTCTTGTCTCTCTGAACTTCCTATTTTGTAACTTTGCTGAGTCCTTTGAGGTAAAATGATTTTGACCTGCCTTGATTACACAGGGTCTATGAACAGTTGCAGTTAATTAATTTGCAGGCAACTGCAGGCATGTGGAAAAACGAGGACACTGTGGAGAATGTGCTTTTGATTTTTTTTTTTTAAATGACGTGGAGAGGATTGTTGTTGCTTTATATTTGGGTGGATTCCCATCATGGTCATTCATAAAGTGTCTGAAGGAAAAGGCAGATTCTGTCTGTATGCCAAAATGGAAAGTGACACCTGACTCTCATGTGAGCTTAGAGCAGGAGAGCACAGAGACTTGACTGTGGAGCGTATGGCCTTTCCTAAAAGCTTGTAATAAAGATTATTTGACAACATGGTGTCATGGTTTAACCTCAGTCGGCAGCTAAGCACCACGCAGCTGCTCGCTCACTCCCCCCACGCTCCCCCACCCCGGTGGGATGGGGGAGAGAATTGGAAAAGCACAAGTGAGAAAAACTTGTGGGTTGAGATAAAAACAGTTTAATAATTGAAATAAAATGATAATGATAATAATATGATAATAATAACAATACACAAAGCAAGTGATGCACAGT